ATTCATTAAAATTTGGTATTCACTTATATCAGTTAAGCTTAATTGATCAAAATTTTCTATTAACAAATCTAATTCTTCATTCATTTTTATCTTCTTTTTGTTCTATTTTTAATTTTGATTTTTCTCTAAATTCTTCTTCTTCTTCTAATATCTTTAGTAATATATTTTTTTCTAAATTCATCATCCATGCTTCCTGTTTCTGCTACTATATTTTCTTTTTCTATATGTTTCTTTCCTATCCTAATCATTTCTTTTTCTATAAGTTTTTTTTATCTATTTTCTTATCTTAATTCTTATTATTATTATTATTATTATTATTATTATTATTATTATTATTATTATTATTATTATTATTATTATTATTATTATTATTATTATTATTATTATTATTATTATTATTATTATTATTATTATTATTATTATTATTATTATTATTATTATTATTATTATTATTATTATTATTATTATTATTATTATTATTATTATTATTATTATTATTATTATTATTATTATTATTATTATTATTATTATTATTATTATTATTATTATTATTATTATTTTAATTCTCTAATCTCAATTTTTAATATATTTATATCGTTTCTTGTTTCTTTTACTTCATTTCTCAAATCTTGTATATCATTTATTAACATTTTTATTAATGATTTTAATTTTTCCATATAGTCACTTATTAATATCTTAATTTTTTCTTATTTCTAACTCATAAGTTAATTTGCATCTTTTATCTTCTTTTTTATCTATTATCTTTTTAAATGTTCTCTCAACTGTTTCTGGATCTACTAATTCTTCTTTTACTATAATGAAATATTTGCTCTCAAGTCTTAGTTTTTCACATTTTAATTTTGTTAATTGTCTATTTTTTGATATTCTCATTTTTTCTGGTATTAACATTATATTTCTTATTTCTTCTTGTATTTTATCCATTTTTAAAAGTAATTTATTCAATTTTTGATGTGTATTATCAGCTGTACTCATATTTTTCTTTATAATATAAATTATTTTCTTTATCTTCATATATACTAATAATTTTCTCATGTGTATACATATCATTTACTGTTTCTATTATTAATTTTTCTAATATTTGTTCTTTTATTTCTTTAGGAAGTTCTTTAATTATTGTCAAAGTCATTATTTTTAATTTATTATGAATACGTTTTAAATATATATAACTACCTTTTTCTTCTTCTAAACACCAATAATTATTTATTTCTTTTATTTTAATTTTCATGATCTCTATGGTTTTGATACCAATAAATGGGGGCTACTTAGAGCGAACATAAATCAAATAAACCGGTAATCTATTAAAATTCATGTAGTGTTTGAATTTTTAAGGACTAAATTGAAAGATTTCTATATTTCATTAACTTATTATGTAATATTATAAAGGGGCATTTTGGGTATCAAAATTAGCCAAAGGCTAATTTGGAAAAATGACCTTTCTATTTGGATCATATTCATGTATTTCCCCGGAATTGAAAAGGATCCACGTACAGGTTTAAGTTACTGCATGCCCCAATGGCTCTTGAAATGTGAAAACGGTGTTGCATTTCTTTTAATTCAAGGCATTGCGTGCCAGCCGATAGAGCACCTCATGAGTCGATTGTTGGTTGCTTGTTAGGTTCATCAAGTTCAAATATGATTTGGTTCGAATTCGATTTAATTTTGAATTTTAAATGGTTAGCAATTTTTGTAAATTGAGATCATTTCGATACGTGAAAGAATATAAAGTATCGTAGGATTCAACTGACACGAAAAATGGTCTTATTTTTAAGTTTATTTGGAATTTTGAATTCCGTACCCTACTCAATATTGTTTCCATACATTAATAGAATATTTTTCTCTTTTTAATCTAAATTATTGCAGTGTCATTACCTTTCAATTAACCATAAACATTGAATTATTACCACTGCATAATTCAATTGTCTCTTTCTTATTTAGGTTGTGCTTATAACCTTTTTCTTTTTGAGACACATAATCGTATTGCATATTCACGTATTTCATTTTCGTCTTCCTTATTTCCTTAACCTATAGAATCACTTTTCTTCTTTTGACATTTTTAATGCGTATAATATAGTCCATTCTCGTGAACGGGATACTTTATTTTTTTCAATTGATGGGATAAAATACCTACTACACAGAACTCAAATTCTTGGTATGATCAGAGTTGAAATAGGCTACGTTTAGAAACAACTCAAATGGTATATTAAACGGTGGTTTGTTAAGGATACACAAGATACATCAATACACAAGGAAAATTAAAAGCATATCGCACAACTCAAATACTTGATAATGTCACAAAAAGACGAACGACAATAATTAATAATAGAATTATTAACGAATTAGTACTTTCATTAGGTTAATCTAAGTTGTATTATTTTTGGATATGCTTCTGATTAATGAACTACTTTTAGTTAATTCACGAAGGGGTTTATTCGTATATCTAATCAAATTATAAGCAAATCCTCCAAGTATGGTCCCAATAAGTGGGCCAAATATATAAACCCAGAGTCCTTTATAAGTATGCTTCACAATGGCTGGGCCTATGCTCCTTGCTGGGTTCATTGAGGCTCCAGAAATCGGCCTGCAGATCGAATAGAAAATTAAAAATAAAATATTGTTGATTTTATTATTATAATTATTATTTTTTATATTGTCCAATCCCGTAACAAAACACAGTATTGAGACATTAACGTACCCGGCAACGAACACATTTAACATTATAGTCATCCCAACGACTAAACCGGCAAGATCTCCAATCTATGTTTCAAAAGGAAAATAAATAAACAAATTAGGTTAAGCAAGCAGAAAATTACGTGGGCAGCTCGTTCAGAAGTATGAAATTTAGAGCATCTAAATAATAAAATTAAGTCATTTTACCAATACGTCATGTATGTTTTTTGATGTTACATACCGCTCTACTATCTGTTGCTACGCCAGAAATGGTGAACATCAAGAGGAAGGAGATGATGATTTCTATGGCGAAAGATTGCCCATTTGATCCAACGGGCAAGGTGCCAAAGTAAGCTTCAGAGGTGATGTCAAACAAGATAGCCAAAGTACAACTCGCAAGGATCGATCCAATCAATTGCGCTATTATATACAATGGAACCTGCAAATCTTGGAACATTACTGTATCTACGATGATTCGAGTTGCACAGTTTAAAAGAAAATCAGTTCAATCCGTGTTTAATAACTATGATTTAAATTATCAATACAAAACAATACATCTTTTTGTTTAATATGCAATATGGAACATAATAAATGATAACAAAAACCCACGAATTTCTTGCACGATATTATCACATTTCAAACTTATCAATTCTCATCCCGTTTTACTTAAACCATCATAATTGCCCATACGTGTATGTATGTACATGAAATCGATCTAACATATTAAACATGTCTGTTGTATTAATCGGTACCTCTTTCCATGGAAAACGGCGAAAGATGGCGAAGGTAATGGTGACCGCAGGGTTAAAATGAGCCCCGGATATGTGACCTACGGAGTAGACCATGACCATCACAATTAGTCCCCATGTCGCACAAATGCCTGGGAATGTGACCGTCCCACCATACAATTTATTCACCGCAACAGAGCCACACCCCGAAAATATAACAAAATACGTGCCAATCACCTCTGCAATCACCTGGGAAACATCTAACACATTACGTTTAGTACATTTTTTTGCATGCTCGACCGAACAAGATTGAAAGTGACATGTTATGCATAAATATGAAAAATCGAAGATTGTAGAGAACGTCCCAAAAGTTTTCAAGTGAAATGTTACGAGATCTAACCTTTTGTACGATAGTTACGATTGAAGCCGACATACAGAAGCCTTCTTTAGCATTGAACGTTGAGGTGTCTACTCCTTCTTCCATTTCTTCGATTGCCATAACTCACAAGTATAGACGTGGCCTTGTAAATGTCAAGAAAGAAATAAAGAAAAAATGGATTTTATTTTCCTTTACTATTAGTTTCAATGAGGGGAAAAGAAATAGAGAATTGAGAGTAACGTGAAAATCTCAATTTGTTCAGTCATTAGTGGATAATGATGAAAATAAATAGAGAATTGAGATTAAGATTAAAATCTCATTTTTTTCAGATCTCATTCAGTCATTAGTGGATAATGATGAACGAGTCCTCCGAGTTTTTAGAGAATTGTCCTTAATATTCTGAGTTACGATGCATTATCTGTTTGACTAATAGATTCTTTAGAGATTTTTTCATGCCATTAATGAAATTTGCCAGGCTTTTAGGGTAAAATATAATAATTTTGTAATTGTAGAATTTTATTAAATTGTGCTTTGACAAGAATATAATAATTTAGAAAGATTGATATAAGCATATAAATGTTTTTGAAATTGCCCTTTAACCGTGCTTTATTAAAAAACAAAAAATCAATCTTTTGATGTTCTTGATTTCACCTTCGAATTCTGTCCGTTTGGCCTTCATTCTCTCCAAATTTTAATATTTGGAATAGTATTTTTTTTTAAAAATGTGTGGTTGAAAAAGAATGATGTTTTTTTTTATTTACGTGTAATATTATTTTGTGAAAAATTGTGTGATTGAAAATAAGATAGAGAAAAAAATGAAAGAAAGTAGGGGCCAAAAGGGGGTTAGTCTTCTCCAATATTCTTCAAGAAGTTTAAACTGCAGAACAAGAATTGATTGATAATTAAACCCCAATACTAGTGTCTATTTATAATATGAAATTTAATTGTATAAGGAAATATCACAATACTTGAAAGAACTCTTCCTTTTGCTTGGATAAGGTTACAAATTCAAAAGGACTTTTCCTTTTCAATTAGGGAGTCACCATTTTCATTTATAATTTTGTATATCTGTAAAAAGTATTATATTCATCATTATTAAAACCATTAATCTAAACATAATATATCTCTATCGCTTTTATGTCTATCCCACTCTTTTCTATGACATACTTAGGCGTCTTGAGCCTCCAGGGTACATCTCCAAGTGGTAAAAGGGGAGGGTGGAGAAATCCAGCTTTTCTTGAGGCTATTGCGTCAAGAGTTCTAATCCTGAAATATGGATTTGGCTCTTGGGTAAGTGCAAGTATACAAGCAACCTTCCACCCTATACCCTTGGAGACATAACCTGCGATTTACCTCCCTCACGATACTTCAGGGCAGGGGCAGTGAGGGACCCTTAAGATTGGGGTTCAACCTTTTACTCAGGCGTCTTGATGGTGCAACTTTGGCCAGTGCAGCCCGTGCCGTCCTTGCGCGACATCCTACTCTATTTGAAAGCAGGATGATGTCAAAAGTTTGATCACGTCAATTGGTGGAAACAAAATTTTTAATGCAGATTTGTTTCCCCTTATGGTGAACGAGGTTCCTAAACTTTGATGGAATGACAATTTTGAGGAGAGTTTTGCTATAAGTACAAGAAGTTTCGCAGAATTTTTTGCTAGATGTCAAGTGTGAACACTGCATTAATCTTTTTTAATCTATATTTTTCCATCATCCAATTCAAGGAAGCCACCTCTCTTCCTATGAAATTTTTGTGTGAAACATCCTGTATCTATGACTTTTTTCTTATGGATATCGGATATAAAGACAAAACAATATGTTCAAAAGTCCTATGGGGAATCCAGAATGCAAATGGCTTTAGTGGTTGGTTTTACTACTGTTCATTTCGTATTGATCTTCTTGCATATTCAGACAAGGTAACACTTACGGTCTTCGATGGCCTACATCGGATTATGTCCAGTAACAACAGAGAAAAGATGAAAGCTTTGATAAAGAGTATTGCTATTTGACATCACTCACTGTCGTAGTCGTCCTATGTAGCATATATGTGGTGGTTAGTGATTTAATACATTTATGTGGTAATTTTTTTTTTTTACTTTATGCAACAAATCACTAATCACCACATGTATGTCACGTAGGACGACCTTGGTAGTGAGCAACTACAAATAATATTATCCTTTGACAAGAGCTCAAAGATGGTATCCAGCTTAATTGGATTATAATCAATAGAAAAGAAAAAAAGTAATGTCATTTGTAGTCGCTGATTGCCATATTCGTCCTATGTGGCGGTTAGTGAATTGATAAATTAACGTGGTGGATTTTTATTACTTTATGTAACAAATCATTAACCGCTATATGTATGCCACGTAGGGCGATTGCAGTAGTAAGCGATTGCAAATAACATTATTCAAAGGAAAAAAAAAACAGCTATTGATCTATTGAGTTAGATTATTATTGAATGAATTTATAGCGATATATTTTATTTTTATTGTATTCTTGTTTATAGAAGTAAGATTATATAAGGGTATATTTGATAGGGTTAAATTTTTCATGGAAAATGGAATTTGAACAACATTTTCCAACTTTAAAGAGTTTGATAGGTTTATTTTTTTCATGGAATTTAAGTTCTTGCTTTTCTTGAATTTTGGAATTTTCTTAGCTTTTGGGAATTTTTCGGTTATTGTAGCATATATATTTTTTTTCGTTTTCTTTTTTGTTGGCAAAGTTAACAACTTCTAAGAATTATTGTAAAAAAATATTTTCATTTAATTGACAATTTTTATGTAAAATAAAGTCAAACAAACACCAAAAGATAGATGATTTTCTTGAATTTTTTTGTTTTGCTTTGGCAATGAAAACAAATTTCATCCCCAATACCAGTAAATTTTATCTTTTTAATTAATAATTTTCATGTAAAACAAAGTCAAACGAACACCCAAAAACACTTTTTATTTCAACATTTTTCCACGTGAAAAAGTATATCAATCAAACACAATAATTTACAATTTCCAGAAAAATAATTTTTAAACAATTCAATTCCCTGGAATTCGTTTTCAATTCAATTCAATTCCATCTTTACAATCAAATGGACTATAAGATTAAAAATGTGGAATTTCGTATTAAAAAGTGGACGTATAAGAATTGTGGATGAAAATAGTAGCCCCTTTAATCATAATTCAAATCAGATGCTTTCATATAATAATGGCACATGCGTGGTACATCATGATTTAGCCACCGTTTGGCCCCCATTTTTTAAAATTAAAATGGGATGGAATAATTATTTTTGAAGAAAAAGTGGTTAAAAAAAAAGAAAATTTTCGATTTACGTATAATATTATTTTATGGAAGATTGTGTGACTGAAAATAAGAGAGGGAGAAATGAAATCTAATTTAATGGAAGTCAAACGAGGACTTAATTTATTAATTCTCTACAATTAACAATAAATTATAACACTTGTAATTTATTCTAGTTCTTATTTTGAAGCCACCGAAAGAAAAATCGGACTCAATTAAAATAAGTTCCAATAAAATAATCTTTGACCGGTCAAAATAATTTATTAAATCACATTTTATTCCATGAAAGGAACGAGATAGCACTTTCAATCTTAACTAAAATAGTGAAGCCGTATATTATGAATATTTATGTCATTTGACATATTGTTCTTTACATATTACCGCTGATAACTTCGAATATTGGGAGTAAGGTAAAATAACCAAAAAGTCCTTTTATAAATATATACATTAAACCATCAATCTTATTTTTAATATGATAGTCACACGGGATCACATTACAATATTAATTCAACAGTTCATATAAATTCACCAAGATCATGATCTTGTCTATTAAAATTGGTTGCAAATTTCATATTAGGAATGAATACTTCGATTATATCACTTTAATTACCAAAGTACTAAAATATTGTTAAGCAATTTGATCTTAAGCATCAATACCATAAAGAATTTCAAATTAATAATTGGAGTTAATTACTTGCTCAGGATTAAGCTATTACATACAACAATCAAGTGAAACAAAATTCACACGGTCCATTCCATAAGTTAAATTTCACTTTGTTCAGTTCAATACGTTCCAAAATGTACACCAATTTCGTTAGCAAAGTCTAAAATCAACTTTAATAAAATTGAGATGATCTTATCAAAAAGTGTTCATCTTATTTATCGATTGTGAAATAAAATTTAGATCAAATTATAATTTGAATCTTTTCATTCTTTGACCATTTAAATACTTGACTGATAACATCACGTTACTCCATGAACAAAATGCAATTTAAAATTTATACAAATAATTATAAAAAAAAAAAAAGTAGATTTTACTTCAAAATATACAAATTAACTTTTCTTACGTATAATTAATAAGAGCTCAATTTTAGTTCCAACAATAAAATTCGCATCATTGGGCCCCCAGAAAAATATTAGACTACAATTGGTGGGGTGCGCCAGGCCCATGCTATAGTGCAAGACATGGACGACGCTCGACGGCCCGAGCAGCAAGCTACCCATTGGACCTTCCCCCTTAAAAAATTAATTTAATATCGTGTGGGCCAATGGCCCACATATCAGATATTAAACTGATAAGAACAGATACTACACTTGATCTTAGCCAAAAGGCCGAGAAAGGTATGCTTTTAATTTTATTGGCCCGTCCAATTTATAGCTTCCTTCTGCAACTTTGTTTAATTTGACTGCCGATGTGGGATGTGAAATGGAAAAGCCTTTCCAGTTTAAACTCCTCTTCCTCTTCTTCCACCTTCAGAATAATCATAATTTCTTTAACCTCCAAGTTCCATACAAAACATTATTACGGAATAAAATCTTCTTTCAGTCATTTATCGAGTGACTTAATAGTCCACGCCGACAATCGAACAGTTTACACTATCAGAAAAATATAGTGTTTGTTTAGGAAAAACTTAAAAAGTTGCTAAAATATTAATGTTAAAATCAACAATTAATTTTAATCAAACATTTAATGAAATCTATAACTTTTCAACCATAGATTTGTCAATTTTATCAAACAAGCCCTTAGTAAACTTCTTGTTGTCTCTACTGTTAATGTAGAAATTTATTCTATGTTCATTTTCTGATTTATATTTTGCATTAAGACGGCCTACAACAAACAGGGTGCCTATCCTATGACAAACAGGCCGGCGCCTAATTGGCGCCCCTATTGGAGGGGGTGTCGGGGCACCCTGGACGGACAGGGCCCAGCAAAATCCATCCCCATTTTATGACTTCTGCACAACAATACGCTGCCCCGTTCCTCTTGGGGTCCATTAACATAAATTACTGTGTAATTATTACTGTAGAGGATAAAGATAGAATCTGCGAGGATCCATATGACTGGAACTTTTGGGGTTTTGTAACTGTTGTCATCATTACTTCAGGAAATGGAAATTTGGTTATTTTACAAAAGTGCATGCATCGTCTCTGAGATAGGATATTATTTCAAGAACATGGTTAATAAAACCAAACAAGAATTTGGAAACTGCTGTCAGCTGTTTAAAACAGGGGGATTTGATCCCACATCAACTATAAAGCAAAATAAAGGAAAACACAGTAGTGGCACAATGGACACGAGACTCCTCAATTATATTAAGAAATAAAAGAAATTAAGTGTATTGTTCAATCTCGTGTGCCAAAACATGCGCGTGCAAAATTACAAGAACCATCTATGGCTTCTTTTTGACTTTTTATAACCCGAATGAATGTATTGCAGGTCGTATGTCAAAGAAGTTAGGCCAAAGCTGATATTACAGGAAAAATTTGAAACTATTAAGTCAAGTTGAAGAACACAATTTTGACACTCAAAGAAAAACATAAACAAATTTAGAAACTTATAATCAAATTCAAGCCTAACAATCTTGAATTATCGAGTAAACCATAGGACTCAAAATAGTATGCTTCAAATCTTCTGGGATGTACTTTTTCCTGATAACAATTGAATTCAACAAGTGGTGCTTTTATAACGCCCTAGCACATTCATACGCATTTCCATGTAAATTTATTTCTAACATGTCCATTTGCAACATTTGAAGATAATTTTCACATTTACAACAAAACAATCGTTAAAGAAAATAATAATAAAAAATTTAAACTACAAATTTGGCATCAAACAAATCCCATCAAGAAACTAAGATAATCAGCATCTTCATCCTTATAATTACACATATACTTAAATCCTATAGGAAGTTTACCACAAGAATATAGCTTAGAAGTATAGACAAAAACCTTTACTTCTCGTACAACTTCCAATACAGAGTATTAAACGCAGTACAAAAAACTGGAAAGTACTATATTTCCACGTCCTAAAAATAATTCAGTTTATTAACACTTACCAGTCACACCGTACCAACAACAAAGGCCTGGACTGGCATTTAGTGCTATATGTTTTTCTATAGACAATTTGATCTCACACAATGACCAATACAGGGTAAACTCAAGCATGAAGTACGATAAGTTAACACAATCATTTCGATGGAACTTCGGAAGCACAATTACTAATAGGCAGATCAGCTGGAGTGCATACCAGTGCCCGTTGCTGTAAATGTTTTAAGCTCTTCTCCATGCTAACTTGCACCATCTCGGCTAGCATCTGCTTTGCTTTCCCTGTTTGATCCTCCCCATCAATCCGAGATATAATATTGCATACTATATTCTCAAGTGTATTGGGTTGAAGTTCAGACCGTGGATAAGGATTATCTCTCAGCAAACGCAAAAGCGTTTGTGCTTTTGACTGAGACTTGGGTGTTCCTTGAACTGTGAGCTCAAGAAGTCCCGGGATGACACCTTCTCTAAGAATCGGTTCTCGATACTTACAACGATCACTCTCACACATTGTCAAAAGTGTTCCCACAGCATGCTCCCGGCTTTGAAGTGACCCACTTTCAAGCACTTCTACAACTGCAAGTATTCCCCCCTCTTCAGATGTAAGAATAGTTCTTCCCTCTTCAAAACCCACTAACAATTCTATTAAACCGGTACATCTTTCTGCTGTTTTTGAAGACTTCTTACAGGATTTAAGCAAATCAACTAAGGGAGGAATTGGTTCCGTTTGAAGAATCAGGCTAACATTTTCTGGATGTGTGGATAGGTTGTAAAGGGCCATTACAGCATCAGATTTAGTTTGTGAGCTCCCATGTCTTAGAGTTTCAACAAGAAGAGGGATGGCACCAGACGCACTGATGATTGGTTTGTTCACAGATGATGCAGAAAGGGTGATCAAAGCTGCAATAGCATGCTCCTCTAGAGTTGGATCCTCTGACTGAAGGAAGCCGATGATTGGTTCTAAGGCACCGGCATCTATGATGTTTATCTTGTTCCTGCAAACAATGGAATCAGATTAAACAGTTAGTCTCGGTTAGAAACAGCTACAATAAGAAAGCCAAACGTAGTGCAAAGTTTCACAGTCTTAATTAGTACAATACGTGCAACAGGATCCAAATATAGGTGAATTACACAGATCAGAAGCAAATGTTCCATAAAGATTAGGAATAGCATCAATGACTCGAGTAACCAATTCAATTTGACCGTTAAAGTGTATCAAATACAAACTAAATCCCCAAGATAAATGGGGTCAAAATCAAATAGGTCCATGCAAATTGTCCAAACTGTGTACAACTTGGGTAAGACAATTCTATCACTTAATTTAAAATTTGACATCATCACAAATGCAGATTTAAAAGGCAATTATATCCACAGAAGTTATGGGACATAGATCATGGTAGCCCACAAGCCTCAAGACAATGCTAACAGAGGTATCAAGGTAAATACAACCATATTATGCCTGTTAGTATGGAACCGCAATAGTTCAGTTTCTTCCATATGGTTAAAAGGGGCTACTCACACAACTCAATGAACTTGATTCGTCGAATGAACATGGTTATTCTCTTGAATCTTGATTAATTCTAACTACAAGTCCAAGATAAAGGACCATCCATTTTAACTTTAAAACGGAATCTTTCCTTTTTCCGCATTCATTTGAGTTGAAGGGGTTTCCATGCATTCTTTGTCTTACAGTCTCGGTTATCTTAAATGAGAATGATAGCTAAAACCACTCTATCAATAATAAATAGAGGAAAACGTCTCAGGGAAAAGAAAATAGAATCTAAACAATGTGATAGTTTTACAAGCAAGATTAAAGAAAAAGATGGGAAGAAAAGAAAAAGAAATTGAAAGCAACATGTGAACAAAAGAACAGTCCTGTTTTTAAACCTACCCAATCCACAACAGAAAGCATTATATTCCTTTGGCCATGGGAATATACCACCAACCCAAAACTTATTTGAATTTCACGCTGTTAAATAAGGAAACATAATTTCGAAAATAACACTTCTTATTATTCAGTAAATCCGTGCCAAAATCGTTTGTCCCATAAGCAACTCTTGCAGGAAACTAATTCAATGTTCAATTAAAGTTTATAGCAAAAGTAATCAAAGTTCAGATTGAAAAATAAAAAAATTACAAATTTTATAAACATTTAATAATATCAGGGGTCTCACCATATTTATGCCTCAACCAGCTCAACTTTAGCGAAAACCCAACAATACAAAACTCATTCACTATTTCCTTCTTCTTTTTGTATATCTTTTACTTTTTTTAAAGAACCAACCAAGAAAATCAGAAAGAAAAAGAGAAGCAACTGTGGAATTTTTCTTTCCCCAAATCACTGAATCCGAGGAAAAAGGCAATTAAATAAAAGTAAGAGTAAGAAAAAGTGACCCCTTCCAACCAATCCCTAAAACAAAGAGCTCAATTAGACAAATCAATAACCAATCCAATAAAAATGAAACCTTTTCGGGGTATTGATTAAGAGACACCAGAATCATGATTTCAGACTCTAAAATTAGAAATTTTGAACAGTAAACTAGACAAACCAACGGCCAATCCTATGAAAGTGAAAACATTTTTCAGGATATTGATTACAAGAACCAGAATCTATTTTCTCCAGATTATTAAATTTGGGTGTGAAATCAATAATCAAACAATTTAACGGATTTCAATTCAAAGACTCTAGTTCCAAACCCCAAGACTCACTGCAATCTGAGTCTACAAGTGAAATCTACCTACAAGAATACACGAAGGCATATAATATAATAGATAGACTTTTCCTTACGTTTCATCCTTGACTGCGAGGTTAAGAAGAGCAGCGAGGGCCGCCTCTTTGGCTTCAATAGAGTCGCAAAGAAGCATGTCGACAAGTGGCTTCACGGCGCCGGAGAAATGACGGCGGTAGCGCTGCGAGGTCTTAGTAAGCCGTCGGATCTCCACCGCCGCCTGGACTCTCAAATTCACATCATCGGATTGAAGTAGCGAAAGTGTTTGATTGACGTTGGATGATTGGCTCAAAGCTAGGGGCTGAGTATCAGCATCGGAAAAGGTGACGGCGGTTGTAGCGGTGGTGAGGTGACACAGTCCGCCCTCTTTGAAGCCCATATTTTTGTTGTTTTTGAGTGTGTGGTGGGTGTAGAGAGAGAAATCAAGGAGAGAGAATGGGTTAAATAATGGAAGAGGAGGAAACGTAAGGTTGAGGAATGGTGCCGTGTCGTTAAGCAACAGTTACATCGTGGTGGGGATGGGGTCCGGATGACTTTCTAACGGCGTTAATAAAATGGATTTTGTTTTTAATTTGGAGGTTTAGCCCCCCGTTTAATTCACGTTCTGTGCTTTTACAAAATTCATTATTCAAATTATACATTATTATAATAAAATAATTTTACAATAAACTCAATTTCTTTTTTTATTTTTTAATCATATATTCTCTAAAAATTACTATTTCAAAATTTATTAACCAAAAATAGAGCTCGAACAAATCCTTAATATCTCTTAATTATTGTCCGACAAATTTTAGTAGAACTCACGATTAAAAATAATTAACGATGAAAGACCATGTCACAAGTAATGTTGAAGTGATTAAAAATAAATTCACCCACGACAAAAACAAGATAAAATAATATGTTTTTATTTTTATAATTTGTACTTCTCGCACGTGGAAGATGTGCCCGTGCACAAAAATAAAATGCATTTAATTGTTGTCTATTGTTAAATTTTATTACTTCATATACAGATTCCAATACCATATTTTGGAGAAATGGAGAAATATATATATCGTAAAAAATAGAGATTCAAAATGTACTTACTACGTACCGTCTGTTCAGTGAAGTTATTTTGAAAAGTGATTCTTTAAAAACTGTTCCTTTAGGCATGTTTTGGAGCGATTTTTTCATTCAAAAAATTGATTTTTTTATCGTTATATCACTATTCTAACAGTCATATTTAACTTATTCTTTCATAGGTGGACCATACTTTTCTCTTAACGGTCAAAAAATCAATTCTCAAAATCACTCCCAAACTAGCTCTTAATGTGTAGTTAAAAAGTAAAACAAAAATTAAAAAAAAATTATGAAAAACATGGAAAATAAATAATTTTTAGAACTTTGTGGTTGAAATCGAGTGAGGGGAGAAGTAATCCTCAAAGAATCAGAATCAAACAAGGTCTAAGAGTAAATTATAAATGTTCGTATTCTGGCTTTTATTGTTTGCCCCTGTTTCGTTTAGATAAAAGTTAGTAAATTTAGAAAAATTTTTGATGGAATATATGATTGAATTGTGGATCATATAAAATGTACGATTAAAATTTAAATGTTGACTTTGAATTGAATATTAATTCGAAACCAACATGGTCTTACTCTTAGGATGCGCTAGCCAAAAGAATCAATTGCCTATGAGAATTAATGTAAAATTTTCCCACATAATCTCAATTATTTTGTAAGATAAACTTGTACATATTTTCGCAGCATTTCATTTTCTTTCCTTTTCGTGGTCCTCATTAGATAATTCATTTGCATTTGTCGAAGTGGCCAAAAAATGTAGATGAGAAACATAATTGGTTCTATGTACTTCCAAATTCTACAAGTGATCTAATAATTGAGTTTTTATCTTGCTTTTGGTGGATACCACATTTAGCCCCAATTTGATTTTCATTGTTCGGCCACAAAAATAAAAAATATGACTGTTATTCATCACATCAAGCCATCATATTTGACTTTTCATTTCTTATATGCGTCCCGTAACAACAATATTTTTCATTCCCATTCTTGAAAAAATGGGAATAAAACGAGGCCTAATCTCTTCCTAATGTAGTGAATAAGATCATTAACAAAATTAATCTCACGTCTTGAATTTTTAATCTTGTTTCGATTAAATAATCGGTTTATACTAACCTTGCATATATTCTATAACCATTCACTGGCTCGAATAAATAATTCATTTATACTTGCACTTTTAACAATTATTTAAAACTTTATTAGCGACGTTTGATGGAGTGACGAAAAAGATTTTATAAAAATAAATTAAAAATTATCGGTGCTGCAGGCCAACAGTATTGTAATTAGTAAGCAACTGACGATGCTAAAGGCTTCAATTTGGTTGGGTAAGTGGAAATATCATAATTCTCACATAATCGACGTGTTTAATAATTTAATAATTGAATATATGATAGATGAGAAAAGTCGTGACAATGAAAGGGTCATTCTCAACCGTCCCTTTGCCAGGTGTGGATTAATCTTGGAGTTAAAGTTTTCTGTATATGTATATAAGACTTCACAAATTATCAAAATTAGAAAGAATTGTAACAAAGGAAGAAAAAACTCTTTAACATTCCTTTCTTGTGTTTCAAGTGATTTCTCAACAAGTTTCTCTCTATCACTCTACCCCACACACACACACAAATTTTATCTTTCACAAGTTTTCATTTATCTCTATTGAATTTGACTTTTAGAATCATGCTACGAGTACAGAATTTTTTGACAAACAAAATTTTACGGACAACACATGGTGCGACATCGTTGGAAGATGGAAGAGAAAAAAAATGTTCACTTACATTTTGTCACATCAGCGTCAATACAAGTTCTATTAAATTTTTCCTGTACTTGTGACTTTATTGTGACCTGTATGGTTTCATATATTTTGCACCGATTTGATGTAGCTAAAAATTACATTTTTAATAAATTTTGAAAGAAAAAATAATGATAAAAGATTCTTTAAATGGTAGTTAGAATATTTAAAGACAAATTAATTATATAGTTATTTATATTCTTCTTTAATTACCACGTTCCTTTTCTATCCTTGGTTATTTACTTAAGGTCCACTTCAACCTAACAAACAATGTTAGGTTACCTTTTAAAATTTATTTTTATTGGATTTTTCCCCCATTTGGTACATTTTGGACTTGAGAGGAGACCAAAGTAGAGAATTGATTGCAACTTGCAAGCCAGATAAACGACTTTATGTCTGCTAAGACATATAGAAGTTGATTCATTCCTGATTTAAAAGAATAAAAAAAACGTACATAAAATTGATATGTTTTACTAAATAATCAAATTAATTAAAAAAAAAAGTCATAAAATTATATCTAAATTTTTTTAAATCAAATGTGTTTTCTAATTTTTTTTTCCTAAAAAACAGTTTTTCAAAGTGACAAACAAAATGTATATTCTAAAATCTTAAAATAATCTCTCAAACTAGAAAACATAAAATGAATTCAAAATTGAAAATAGAAAATAGAAACACAAATCAAACGCACCCTTATTTTTTTCTCAAATAGAAATTGTCGAACAAGGGGTTAGTTGTAAACTAACAAAAAATTACCTTTAACATAATTTTTTTTGTAAGAAAAGAAAAAAATTAAAATTAAAATTTTAAACAAGGTAAGTTTATTAAATGAATGATGCTTGTTGTAAACTACACATTTTTTTACACTCTGACACATAACAAACTATCATTTAACAATTAAAAAAAAATTTAATTTCTCATCCAATTACTTTTGACAACAATACAAGTGTCAACAAGAATATACAAATTGAGTATACAAAATGACAAAGCCCTTATTGAACAAAGTCTTGATTTGAGGTCTCTATCACAACAGAATTAATATCTGTCGTCCAAAATTTGCTGTCTACTCAATAAATGATTAACACGTCATTTTAAATTAACATATTCAACTTTTCTCTTATTGTTACTTGTGCTTAAAATTAGATGACATTTTAATATAAATAATATGTCAATTATTCAATAATGGACAGTAAATTTTAAATCCCATATCTCAACTCTATCACAATATTCCAATCTCCAAGTCTCCTAGTTACTGTAGTGACCAATTATATACACACACTTTAATCTTTATTGCAGTTCATTAAAGTAAAAGGAGAGTTCTTTAAAAATAAGTTAATTGCGTGTCAAAACTTGTTCATTTTCACTTTTCTAAATCACCTTTTTATCTTTTAAAAGGTGATAATAATTTTCCAACCAATTGATAAAAGGTTTAAACGAGCCAATTAAAATATGTTTGGCAATGCTTAGGTGTTGATCCATTAATTTAGTTTGGAGGGGCAGAAATTTTAAAAAGTTAGCATAATATTCATATATAATAGAAACATAATTTTATCTATAATAGAATCAATATCTATTTTCTCAGCAAATTAATAATAAGCGTATTTTTCTTTTATTTGCTATACATTTTTTCTTGGAACCCAAAATGAAGATTTTTTTTTCTTTTTTTCTATAAAGAAAGGGTTAAAGAAAAACTTAGGGTCCGTTTGATTGCAAAAATAGAATTTGAGTGGAAAGAAAATAAATGGAAGGGAATTGAATTGACTAAAATTTGTTTTAGTGGGAATTGCCAATTAATAGTGTTTGATCGGTACAATTTTTCACTTGAAAAATGTTAAAATAAAAGTGTCTTTTGGTGTTCGTTTCGTTTTTCATGAAAATTGTCAATTTAAGGGATATTCACTTTTATTGTTGCTCCTATAATTTCTTTTCATTGCAAAAAAAAAATAAAAAAAATCCAAAAATATCTATATTTTGGTATTCATTTGACTTTGTTTTACATGAAAATTGTCAATTTAAGGGATATCATCTTTTATAATTATTCCTAGAATTTGTTCTCATCACCAAAAACAAAAACAAAAACAAAAGAAAAGATGAACTTTTCCTTTTTTTAATGGAAAATGCATAACGTGATGTAGAAAATGGAAAAGAAATTGCATAGAGAATTTTACACATCAAACACTACAAAAAGTTGAGAATTTTCCATTTTCCATGGAAAATGTACTATATCAAACGGACCCTTAAAATTTGAAGTTTAAATTTTTAGCATCTAACCGCTTAAAAACTTGAAAGTCAAAAAACCAAGTCTTGGTTAGGTGACGAATTTTCAGAGACGAGGACCGGGTGGGGATCAGGATTGTTGATAATTTAGAATGGAATTGGGTTCTAAATTTCAACTGGATTTTGAATTTGGGGTTGAAGTGATAAGGGATTAGTTGGGTTTGGATTTAAGGCCAAGGATCTGGGCCAATTGGTGGAAGACTGTATTTTGTTTTTGGACAGAGTGTATTTTTTTGGGAACAATTCATAGATGCCTCTAAAGAATTAATAAATTCATTTTTTTACTATTATGTTTTTATATATTAATGTTACTACGTAAACGAAAAAGAAAATGGAAA